AAATAGAGGACAGGCTGACAGTGACCACAGGGGAGAGAAGAGGGAATTTCAGGGGACAATGGGAAGGGTTCACGGGAACAAATTTAAAGGACACATGGACAAAAGCTAGGGGGATGGTGGTAATGGGAGGGAAGTGGGGGGGTGGTTGGGAGGGGGGCTGGATTGGGAGTAAAGGAGAAAACTATACTTGAACAATGATTAAAATAAAATTTAAAAAATTTTGGAAAAAAAATGGAAAACCAATTATCTTGGCACACTTTATTGAAAGGTTTGTCTTTCATTGATAAGCAGAGCCATTACTGTGAGAAAACACGTATGCATGGGTCTGTTTCTGGATGTTTTATTGCTCTATATGTCTGTCATTACAAGAATTCCACAGTGTCTTAAATAATGTAACTTTGTCATATATTTTGATACCTGATAAAGTGACTTTTCTCCTCCTTATTTATCTTACAAATTGTCCTGGCCATTTTTGAATCTTAGCTCTTCTATATAATTTTAAAATTGGTGTGTCAAGTTTTATAAAAATCCTTGTAGGAACTTCAAATAAAATTGACTTTATTGAGGTCTTTATTGAGGTATAACTTAACTACATATGATAAAATACAACAATTTTAAGTATACAATTTCATGAGTTTTGAAAAAATATATCTCTGTTTAGAGTAATTCCATCAATCTTGACTGGGTAGCTCAGTTGCTTAGAGCAGGGGTTCCCAGACCCCGGGCTTCGGGCCAGTACCAATCCTTGGCCTGTTAGGAACTGGGCTGCAAGGGAAGCTCCTACCTCCTATCCTCCCATCCCCCAACCCCCTCATCCCCTGTGGAAAAATTGGTCCCAGGTGCCAAAAAGGTTGGGGACTGCTGGGTTAGAGCATTGTCCCAATATGCCAAAGAACTCATGTAACTGAATATCAAAAAGACAATCTGATTAAAAAATAGAGAGCATGAACAGACCTTTTCCCAAAGAAGACATACAGATGGCCAACAAATACATAATGAGATGCTCAGCATAATTAATCATGAGGGAAATGCAAATCAAAACCACAGTTGGATGCTACCTCACACCTGTCAGAATGGCTATTACGGAAAAGACAAAAACTAACAAGTGTTGGTGAGGATGAGGAGAAAAGGGAAGTCTCGTGCACTGTTGGTGGAAATGGAAAGTGGTGCAGCCACTATGAAAATCAGTATGGAGGTTTCTCAAAAAATTAAAAATAGAACTACTGTACAACCCAGCATTCCACTTCTGGGTATTTACCCAAAGAAAACAAAAACAGTAATTCAAAAAGATACATGCACCCCTATGTTCCTTGAAGCATTATTTACAATAGCCAAGATGTGGAAACAACCTAAGTGTCCACTGATAGATGAATGGCTAAAGAAGATGTGATATTCTCTTTCTCTGTCTCTCTGTCTCTCTGTCTCTCTCTCTCTCTCACACACACACACACACACATTATATAATATTAGCAATAAAGAATAAAATCTTGCCATTTGTGACAACATGGATGAATCTAGAGGGTCTTATGCTAAGTGAAACAAGTCAGACAGAGAGCCAAATATATGATTTCACTTATATGTGAATCTAGAAAACAAAACAAATGAACAAACAAAACAAAACAGAAACAGACTCATAGATACAGAGAAGAAATGTGTTTGCCAGAGAGACAGGAGTAGGGAGATAGGCAAAATAGGTGAAAGGGATAAAAGGGTACGAACTTCTAGCTGTAAAATGAGTAAGTCACAGGGAAGTAATGAATAGCATAGAGAATATAGTTAGTAAGAGAATATAGTTAATATAGAAGGTAACTAGACTTATGGTGATCACTTATTATGTATATAAATATCGAATCACTAGGTTATATACCTGAAACTAATGTAATATTCTAAGTCAATTATACTTCAATTAAAAATTAAAGTATGAAACCTGCATGGTTTATTAACCAATGTCACCCCAATAATTTTTTTAAAATAAGTAAAATAAAATGGGAAACCTAAAATAAATTAAAAATGAAAAGTTAAGCATGCCACCTTCCAGCATATCTGCTTAAGAACTATGGTCCAGGAAGCTATATTTACAAAAATGGCAAAAATCTTGTGTTCTGAGAACTTGGCTTTGTAACCATCGCCCCAGAAGCCATTTGCAGCTAGGGTGCTACCAAACTGCTGCCGGTCTTCAGGGAGATTACAACCACTGGAAGGAATATTCCAAACAGATAAGGAGTTTATGTAAAATCAAGGGCTCCCAAATCAAACAAGCAGAATGACATACCTATTTTAATCAGCGTGAAGAACCTGCAAAAGGCTTAATAATTCAAATAGCTTCATTGAAAGATTTATTGCAAAGACTAATGAAAAATTAAAGATATTAGAGGTGTGTAAAGCCCTGAGCTACCCTGAGCAGGGTAGCTCAGTTGTTTAGAGTCATTCCAATACGCCAAGGTTGCGGGTTTGATCTCCAATCAGGGCATGTATAAGACTCAACCAATGAGTGCATAAATAAGTGGAATAACAATTTGATGTTTCTCTTTCTCTCTCTCCCCCTCTCTAAAAATATTAATAAGTAAAAACTAAAAGAAATTTAAAAAGAATAATTCCATCAACATAGACTGTTCCCTTATGTTTTTCTTTCCAGCCAATTCATAAGTTAATAACTTCTACCCCTAACTCGTGTCAACCACTGATCTACATTCTATTTTTATATTTGTCTTTAGTAAGTTTCATATAAATAGAATTACATAGTGTGTATCCTTTTGGGTCAGGATCTTTTGATCAGTATAATGTTTTTGAGGTTCATCCATGTCATGTGTATTGTCTTTTTGTTGTTATTGTTGTTGTTGTTAAATAGTATTTCATTTTAATATTATACCACAATTTGTTTATCCATTCATAGGTTAGTGGTCATTTGGTTGTATCAAGTTTTGGGTTACTATTATTGAAGCTGCTATGAACACTTATGTAAAAAGCTTTATGTGGATATATGTTTTCATTTCATTTAGGAATAAAATCACTGGGTCATATAGTCAAGTATATTTAACTTAATAAGGAATTGCCACACTATTTCCAAAATGATTGTGTAATTTCACTTTCTTACTAGTAATACCAACACTTGGTGTTGCCACTATTTTTAATTTCGGCCATTCTAATGGGTGGGTAATCAGATCTCATTATATTTTAATTTGCATTTCTCTGATAACTAAAACATTGAGCATCTTTTCTTGTGCCTATTGGCCATTTGTACATCTTTTTTGGTGAAGCATCCATTCAAATATTTTGCTCATTTTTAAATCAAGTTATTTTTCTTATTATTGAGTTTTAAAAATTTCTTATAAAATCTGGGTTGTTTGTGAAAGATAGGGCCTTGGAAAATTGCTATTTGAGTGTGGGGAAGCTTTGTCCAGCAAAGCCCCTCTGCTGCTGCCGATGAGTGTAAGTCCAAGACGTGATCTGCTTAGGGAGAGAAGGCTGACCAGTCTCTCAGAGGGGAAAGACATTTAGCACCTCTTTCCCTGTGTATTTATTGAGTTCAGCTCACACAGAGATACATAGAATGCACATAAAGCTCATCAATCAATGTCCAAAAAGCTACAGTCAGGAAAAACTGGCATCGTTTACAGATAATAATTGAAGAAACACAGGGATTGTCTCTGGTCAGGGTCAGTGAGATATACCAATGCCAGAAGGTTATTGAGGCATGCATCATGAGGTAGGGAGTTTCACTCCCTACGCTTTGAGCTCAAATGTTTAGTTTATAGCACAATGGGGCAGAGCAAGCCTCAAAGGAAACAATGTACATTCTTTCTAAGGCCAGATTTGCTCACCCCCCAGGGGTCATCCATTCCAGTAAGGCAGTAAGGCCACAGCTGCCTCTGGCATTGTTTTCGGGCTGAGTCAGGCAGAGGGAGCAAAGCAGTGAAGAGATTAGGAGACTTCTTATGGATAGAATGAGGACTCAGGCTATGACAAAGCTGAGGGGTGAGGGTCTTTCTGCCTCTTCTTTGTAGTCCCCTAAGCCCTTCCCTGATGGTCCTTTCATGACTCTGCCTGTCTTAGGTTCTTCCTCCCTTGAGGAATCTTACCTGTCATTGGCTAACCAGTGATCTGCCCAGGCCAAGCAGGGGAATATGAGGGAGGGGACAGGTTTTTTATCTCCTGAGTGGCTTATGTCCCTAAGGCCTTTTCACTCAGTCTAGCCTAAGGGCCCTTTAGTCCGTTAATGAGGCTACAGTCCCTGAAACCAAGCAGGACGGCTCCCAACATTTGAGTTAGTTTCAAGTCTGACCGTCTGTGTGTGAGAGTGAAATGAAGCAGAAATGACAGAACCTCAATGTTTGATCATTATTATTTATTGTTCATCTTAATGCAATCCAGTTATTTGAAATAAATATGTTATAGTCAAACCAAGAAACTATATAGCAGTAGCAGATAATATTTCTTTCCCTCTGAGTATAAAAGGATATTTTCCTATGTGGAAAGGCTAATGAACCATAGAAATAGGTTGGAGCCATTGTATTTTCATGCTTTTGCTCTTCCAAAGTTTTTTTTTTAAACCTGGAGCAAGTTCTTAGGAGTAGGGGGCAACATCTTTCTTGCTAAAACAAAGTTAGAGCCCTCATTTGGATCTGTTAATGCTGAACTTGTCCATCCCATCCATTTAAGACATAATGCTCTCTCTCACTGGCTAGGGAGAAAGAAGCATCTGATGTCATTTTTTGGTGCCTCTGTAGTTTACTGGTTAAAGATGTACCCAAGAATAAGGGCTTGGTGGTTTAATAAACTAAGAAATGTCCAAGATTACATCTTTGCTTTTAGGGTCTTCTTTCTGTTACCATTCGATGTGGGACACACCAAAAATTATACTCCACATTGCTATAGGAGAAGCTTTAGCTCCAGAACTGGTAATCCATTTCTAATTTTTTGCTTTTTAGAGATGAAGGTTTAGTGTGGCATAAATCATAAATAAGGAGCTCTTAAAAAGACACCTCCACTAAACCCCAATCTCCATAAGTGCTTTTTATTATTCTTCCAAATTTAGTCCCATACATTATTTATTCAACTCAGTATTTCCTAACAGTGTCACCCACATACTCTACATTCTTTGGAAGGAACCCAGTCACAAGGAATACAGTTAAATGAAAAAGATAGGAACAAGTACATCCACTTTTAGAAAGAAGCTTTAAAATAAATTGCTTGTCTATTACAGTTACTTATTTTTTAAATTGCTACTTGAGTTAATTTTACTTCTATTTATTATTCACCATCAGAATTAATACCTCTGTTGTTGGACATATTCATAGAGTGGAGTGCTGCTACGGAAACTGCGTGAACTTGAGTTGGTGCTTCCACCTCCACGGTTACCTCCTTCTCTTTGATAATAATAGCCATCTTGTCTACTGTCCTCCTTGCAAATTAATAATGTATTGGTTGTGTTGGATCTAGACTGTCCATAGGAGGGTGTAAATTGTCTAATGCCACAATTTGATGAGCTTTGTACTTGTGTTTGTCCATGAATACTCTCATATCTATCAGACTTACTACTATTTTCTTTTTGGTTGTACCCTGTCCATTCCTGGCTATTTCTTCTTGATTGATTTGGGGTAGAGCCTGTTTTGGGTTTACTATACTCATCAGAAGTACCACTTGAAATTGACCCACATCTCCCTTGTGATTCAGGTTGCCTGTAGCTAGAACAACCAGAGCCAAAACCACATTGTCCAGAGCTAGGTGAGTAACATGAGCCAGACCCATATTGTTCAGTGCCAGAATACTGACCAGAGCCAAAACCACATTGTCCAGAGCTAGGTGAGTAACATGAGCCAGACCCATATTGTTCAGTGCCAGAATACTGACCAGAGCCAAAACCACATTGTCCAGAGCTAGGTGAGTAACATGAGCCAGACCCATATTGTTCAGTGCCAGAATACTGACCAGATCCCAAACCACACTGTCCAGAGCTAGAACACTGACCTGAGCCAGACCCATATTGTCCAGAGCTAGAACACTGACCTGAGCCAGACCCATATTGTCCAGAGCTAGAACACTGACCTGAGCCAGACCCATATTGTCCAGAGCTGGAACACTGACCTGAGCCAGACCCATATTGTCCAGAGCTGGAACACTGACCTGAGCCAGACCCATATTGTTCAGAGCTGGAACACTGACCTGAGCCAGACCCATATTGTCCAGAGCTGGAACACTGACCTGAGCCAGACCCATATTGTCCAGAGCTAGAACACTGACCTGAGCCAGACCCATATTGTTCAGAGCTAGAACACTGACCTGAGCCAGACTCATGCTGACTTTGGTGAGAGGCAGATCTGTGTTGGCCATAGCCAGAAGACTGACCTGATCTGGATGCATGCTGACCACAGTTTGATGATTCTCCTGAGCCAGACTCATGTTGGCCATAGCTAGAGGATTGGCCTCCTGCAGAGCCATGTTGTTCATAACTAGAAGACTGGCCTGAGCCAGACCCATGTTGGCTGTGGCTGGGGAACTGACTTGAGCCAGACCCATGTTGACCATAGCTGGAAGACTGACCTGAGCTAGTCCCATGTTGTCCATAGCTTGATGACTGCCCTGAAGTAGAACTTTGTTGTCCATAAGTGGAGGATTGACCTGCTTCAGACCCATGTTGCCCAAAGCCAGAAGACTGGCCTGATCCTGATTGATGTTGGCCATAGCCCGAAGACTGACCTGAACTAGATCTATGTTGTCTATAGCCAGAGGATTGACCTGATTGAGACCCATGTTGGCTATGGCTAGAAGATTGACTTGAGCCAGACCTATGTCGGCCATAGCTGGAAGACTGACCTGAGCTAGTTCCATGATGTCCATAGCTTGATGACTGCCCTGAAGTAGAACTATGTTGTCTTTGAGTAGAGGATTGACCTAAGCCAGAGCCATGTTGTTCAAAGCCAGAAGACTGCCCTGATCCTGATCTATGTTGTCCATAAGTGGAGGATTGACCTGCTTCAGACCCATGTTGCCCAAAGCCAGAAGACTGGCCTGATCCTGATTGATGTTGGCCATAGCCCGAAGACTGACCTGAACTAGATCTATGTTGTCTATAGCCAGAGGATTGACCTGATTGAGACCCATGTTGGCTATGGCTAGAAGATTGACTTGAGCCAGACCTATGTCGGCCATAGCTGGAAGACTGACCTGAGCTAGTTCCATGATGTCCATAGCTTGATGACTGCCCTGAAGTAGAACTATGTTGTCTTTGAGTAGAGGATTGACCTAAGCCAGAGCCATGTTGTTCAAAGCCAGAAGACTGCCCTGATCCTGATCTATGTTGTCCATAAGTGGAGGATTGACCTGCTTCAGACCCATGTTGCCCAAAGCCAGAAGACTGGCCTGATCCTGATTGATGTTGGCCATAGCCCGAAGACTGACCTGAACTAGATCTATGTTGTCTATAGCCAGAGGATTGACCTGATTGAGACCCATGTTGGCTATGGCTAGAAGATTGACTTGAGCCAGACCTATGTCGGCCATAGCTGGAAGACTGACCTGAGCTAGTTCCATGATGTCCATAGCTTGATGACTGCCCTGAAGTAGAACTATGTTGTCTTTGAGTAGAGGATTGACCTGCTTCAGACCCATGTTGCCCAAAGCCAGAAGACTGCCCTGATCCTGATTGATGTTGGCCATAGCCCGAAGACTGACCTGAACTAGATCTATGTTGTCTATAGCCAGAGGATTGACCTGATTGAGACCCATGTTGGCTATGGCTAGAAGATTGACTTGAGCCAGACCTATGTCGGCCATAGCCAGAGGATTGACCTACTTCAGACCCATGTCCATAGCCCGAAGACTGACCTGAACTAGATCTATGTTGTCTATAGCCAGAGGATTGACCTGATTGAGACCCATGTTGGCTATGGCTAGAAGATTGACTTGAGCCAGACCTATGTCGGGCGTAGCAAGAGGATTGACCTGTTTCAGACCCATATTCATAGCTAGAAGACTGACCTAACCCTGATCCATGTTGTCCATAGCTATAAGACTGACCTGAGCTAGATCCATGTTGGCTATGGCTGGAAAACTGTCTTGAGCCAGACCCATGTTGACCATAGCTAGAAGACTGACCTGAGCCAGCTCCATGATGGCCATAGCTTGATGACTGGCCTGAAGTAGAACTTTGTTGTCCATAAGTAGAGGATTGACCTGCTTCAGACCCATGTTGCTCAAAGCCAGAAGACTGGCCTGAGCTAGATCTATGTTGTCCATACCCAGAGGATTGACCTGATTGAGACCCATGTTGGCTATGGCTAGAAGATTGACTTGAGCCAGACCTATGTCGGCCATAGCCAGAGGACTGACCTGCTTCAGATCCATGTTGTTCAAAGCCAGAAGACTGACCTGAGCCAGATCTTTGTCTGCCGCAACAAGAGGATTGACTTGCTTCAGACCTGTGTTGTTCACAGCTAGAAGACTGGCCTAATCCTGATCCATGTTGGCCATAGCTTGATGACTGGCCTGAAGTAGAACTTTGTTGTCCATAAGTAGAGGATTGACCTGCTTCAGACCCATGTTGCTCAAAGCCAGAAGACTGGCCTGAGCCAGACCCATGTTGGCCATAGCTTGATGACTGACCTGAGCTAGTTCCATGATGTCCATAGCTTGATGACTGTCCTGAAGTAGAACCATGTTGTCCAAAGCCAGAAGACTGGCCTGAGCCAGACCCATGTTGGCCATAGCTAGAAGACTGACCTGAGCTAGTTCCATGATGTCCATAGCTTGATGACTGTCCTGAAGTAGAACCATGTTGTCCAAAGCCAGAAGATTGACCTGATGCAGACCCATAGTGACCGTATCTTGAGGAATGACCTGAGCTTGAACTATGTTTTCCATACCTAGAAGTCTGTCCTGATGTAGACCTGTGTTGACCAAAACCAGAAGACTGACCAAACCCAGGTCCATGTCCACAGCTTGATGACTCGTCTAAACTGGATTCTGAATGAGACTCACGGTTCCTCTGACTAGAAGATTGATTAGATCCAGGTCCATATTCCCCATAATTAGAGGATTGCCCTGATCCAGAGCCATGCTTTTGTCTTTCACAACTGCATGACTGACTACCTGAGTTGGATCCATATGTTCTTTCACTAGAAGACTGGCCTGAGTGTGACCCATAAGTGGATGCCTCACTTGAACTAGAACAGTATCCTTGTTCTTCACAGTTTCCTGATTGAGATCCTGCATTTGATTCATGCCGTCTCTGTTGAGAAGACTGACCTGAGCCAGACTCATGACCACAACCAGTGAGTGTATTTGAATTTGACTGGTGTTCTTGTCCTCCATGGCTTCCTGAGCTGAATCCGTGATGCTGGCTTGATTTCTTGTTATGTTGGCTATTTCCTGAAGATTTGTCTGAGTCAGAGCAATGTTGATGGGAACTGAAAGACTGATCTTCTGAGTGGCAAACATGCCCTTCTCCGTAACCACCTGACTGATTTGCTGAATGTGATCTTTCTTTATAGTTACTTGAATGAGTATAACCAACTTCTTCACTCCCTGACCTTTCTTGCTGATGAGAACCATACTTATTTTTCTTACCATCTTTGAAATGGCCTTCCCCAGAGCTTTGTCTGTGCCCCAAACTAGATAAACCTCCTTGATGTCCAATTCTTTTGGAGCTGAATTGAGGCCTGTGTTTAATGCTTCTTCTAGAGCCCCTGGAATATGAATCATTCTCTCCTGTACCCTTCCTTGAAGGGCCAGAAGATGACTCTTGCTTCTTATTTTTCTCTTCTGTTTCACTATGTTCCTCTTGGTGCTGGTGACTATGACCCTTTTGCTTTGACCCTGAAGCTTGGCAGTAATCTTTCCCAATGATTTTATTACAAGCCTGAGCCAGTTGGAATATCATCAGAAGATACTCAGTAAAATCCATTTTCTTGTTGTGGTCTCGATCCAAACTTTGCATGATGATGTCTACAGTGTCTGGATCATCTGGATTCTGTATAGGAACAAGGTACAAGGGCAACTCTGTCAGTATGTACCACACATGCAGCTAACCAGTTGAAGGAGGGTTGTAGAAACGTGAATGTTTGGCTTACATAGGTAGAGTCAAACCACATGGTCCTTTAGGCTGGGCTGCCCTAGGCTGAGCACAAAGAGAGAAGGGATATATAATGAATAATGCAGTGAGAAATTCTGGCGCAATGATAGCTAGAAGAGTATGCAACTGGAATATTATTTTTATAAGGAATGGGTGAGATATGAATGATTAGCTAATTTATAAATAACAATTTGGATACCTATATTAATTATATATGACTTTAAAAAAATTTGTGTAGCTTAATTGATCAACTCAATTCATTTACTCATTCAACAAAGATTTATTGTGTACCTACTATTATCTGTCTAGCATTGAGTTAGGTGCAGCGAACAAGTTGGTTTTTAACAAAATGGAACTTAAAGTTTAGTGGGCCATATACACAAATTTAAAATTACAATTTGTTGTGATAATGTTTCTATGGGTATACCAGAGGGGAACCATTTGGGGTTCAAGGATGGTTAATGGGAGTAAGTGATGTCTTTGAAGGGTGGGTTGGACCCAGGCAGAGGGCACAGTATGAACAAAGAGCTGGAGATGAGAGAAAACATAACTCATATACAAGGAAGTGAAAGAAATGTAGGATTGCTAAATTCAGAGCCTCAAAAGTCAAGAACATGACTTTTTTGAGAGATGAATATGGAGCAAATCATGCCTTTTAAGTCATATTAAATAAATTTGAACTTTAAGAACTGGGAGCTGTTGAAGGATTTTGAACTGCATGTGAAATGATTAGATTTCTATGTAGTGGTGAGATTGGAAGAAAGAAGTGGCTGAATGAGAGGATAGCAAGAGTGATAGAGAAATGGGCTCTTTTGAAAGACTCTTAATGAATTTGATGGAGGTTAGGGGTAGAGGAACATGCTGAGAGCGGAAGTTAAGAATGGTACCAGATTTCTGCTTTGGGCAAATAAGAGGAGAGTTTAGAAAGGAGGATGATGAGTTTTGTGTCTGACATACTGAATTTAAGATATTGATAGGAATCCAAATAAAAATATTCAGTATGCAGTTGGATTTAATGAGTTAAAGATCAATAGATAGATCTAATCCCCCAAATGTTTATTTCCAGAACTGACACTTTAAGGCGGTGGTCTCTCTCTTTCATGATTTAGGAGTAAGAGGCTAATTTCCTCCACTCAGTGCCAGATTTTCAGAAATGGACAGTGGTTAGGATGTTTTGGGCTGAAGAAAGACAAAGAAAGGGAAGAAGATGCCTATTATGTACTTTCCAGTTTTTCCAAGGATCATCTCAGTTGCTATTCAAGAAGAATTATTCACGTAAGACATTATTTAATCTGTGGACCTTTGTCTATCTTTTTTTTCTGTAGGATTACTTCCCTTGGTCAATGTATAGAAACCATTACAAGTCAACTTTTGATCTTATTTCAAGCCTTTACCAAAAAGTGTCCTCTGTTACCAAGTAGAGAGAGTCCTCTAGGTGTTTGACATATGTGACAAAAGGTAGAAAGAGAGGAGAAGGGAATTGTAGTTGTTTTCAGTCCTGACATGGAGTTCTTACCTTCATAATTTGATGAAATTCATTTTCCAAAAATTCTTTTAGTTCTGCCCGGTTCAACATGTCACACTCCTCATCCTGGGTGGCATATTGGTAGAAAACTTCGATGACAGTGACGATGCTTTGTAGAAGTTTAGGCATCTTTTTTGTTGATATAATTAACCTAAAGGAGGAAAAAAGGAGAGATCCACCTCTTATTGCTCCTTTTTCTTGATTAAACACATAAGTACTTTCAATCATTTGTAATAATTGTTCAAAATTAATGAGGCATGACTAATTTAAGTCTGTTGTAATCAAGAGCCAATCCAGAGTTGAATGACTTGTTCAAGTCATGGAGCAAGAAAGTGATGAAATTAGGAACAGAATCTGTATCTTATATTTCCACTCCTGAATGAACATATAAGCAATGACTTTCTTTTTTGGTCTCTCTGCCTCTACCAGGGATAATTTTCTGAGCTGTGTTCTGGAGCTGTAGAAATCCTGGGTGTGCCTGTTCAGCCATTTCCTCAGTTCATTTCCAGGTCTCAACCATCCCACTACAGAGGGACAAGTCTATTACCCAACCAAGGAGTGCCAGTGTCTAAACTAGACCCTCAAGACTCCTAGGCCAAAGAAAGTAGACAAAGTGCGCAAAGCCAATAGCAGGCCTATGTGATATGGAACTGGGGGCATCTACTCTCAGGCTCAGCTTCTGTTTTCACTGTTCAGGCAGGGACTACTATTTTTTGGATTATAAGACACACCCCTCCCCCCACTCCCGTGCAAATTTGGGAGGAATAATGGTTGTTAATGCTGCTGTTAAGTTCTGTTTACATTTACATTGGTGAAATATTATATTATTTATGTTATTAAATATTTCACTACATTTTTTGCTTCAAAATTTTTTTTCCTATTTTTCTCCTCTAAAACCTAGGTGTGTCTTATGGTCCGAAAAAATACGGTAACCCTCAGGCTTTATCAGTTAGACAACAGAGAGAAAAGGCTCAGCAGAAAAGGAGACAACCCGCCTATTGGGTAATTTGAGCCCATAATCTTTAAGGAAATCACCCAAAAGAAAAGAGGTGCTATCAGTCCTAGTTATCTTCATTTTTCATCTCAATAAACTTATACCAAAGCTCTCCAAAGTATATTAAAAAGAAGACTGGTATCCAGTGCCTCTTTACCTTAGAGCACATCCTAGATTCTCATCATTTATAGCTCCAAATACTCCTGCTCACTTACCTAGTTCACCAGAGGAATGAGTAGGATGGAGACTGAAGCAGCTTACAGGGTGCTGCCAGTTGGGGATAGTGGCCTTTTTATAATAGCCCTTCTTAGGGAGGAGCTGCTCTCTTTGAGATGTCCTAATGCACTCCCAAACACACCCAGCTCCACCTCCATCCCCACCTCCTAGTGTTTACCTTCTTACTTCCTTACACGTTCACCTGAGATTGCATTAGCAGGTCCCAGATCTGGGCGAGTATCAGTTCCACCTGTCAGAGTCTTTGAATGCTGTACCAAGACCTCTTGCGTATTCAATGAAGTAGCTCGCATAATGCATTGGTAACAAATTATGTAGACTTTAGCTGAAGTTGAATGGAGTGTGTACAGGGACGTCAGGGAACAAATGTCAAAGAGTCATGGAATATTTTTAAAAGGAAGCTTAAAGGTTATCTAATTGAAGTCTTTTTTTTATGTTAAATTTTCTTATGCAGGATTCCAGCCAAGGTGTCACCCATGATATTATTACTTCTTGAAATGGATAATGGCTGCAGAAGTCCTATTGTCTCTTTACCTAACTCTGTTTACCAGACTTTAGTGGCCATTTGTCAACATAGCTTTCTTTTCAATCACTGTATAACCTTAGGAAGAAGTCCCTGCTCTTTAGTGTTCAAGATTCTTCTCTCCAGCCTCATCTTCTCTCTCCCTCTTCCTCTTAATGCTCCATCATGAATCGAGTACTTACAATTCCTGAAAATACCATACTATTTCATGTTTTTTCTTGAAATATCTTTCCTCATTATCTGCCTAGTAAACTCCTATTTATTCCTCAAAACTCACATTAGATACCCTGTAGGAAATCTGTCTTGAATAAATCGAGAGAGTTACAATTGTGTACCTTATTCATAATTCTATTGTAATATCAATCATACTGTTATAATCTTCTAAAATTATCTTACTATGAAATTAATGTTTAATATAAAAATTAGAAAGAATAGATGGCCAGGAAAAGAAAGTGAAAATACCTATACTCCTACTACCCAGAAAGAGCTACTGTTAGTTATTTGGTTTATATCCTTACACACACACATTTGTCTATGTGCCTGTATCATTTCTGGACAATGAGCTTGACAATAGGGAATGGGCATCATTAATACTTATGTCATTTAGAGACTCAGCAAATTGCTTGGCACATAAGTATCCCCAATAAATATTTGTCAAATTGAATTGAATTGAAAGAGGAGCGAGGATCATGACAACAGTGCTCTTCATTGACCAACTTGTACTTGTTTTTTAATCCTCACCCAAGGACAGTTTTTTTCATTGCTTTCAGAGAGAGAGGAAGGGAGAAAGGAAGAGAGAGACACACACACATTGATGCGAGAGAGAAGCATCGCTTGGTTGCCTCCCATATGCACCCGGACCTGGGATTGTATGTGCCTGAAATGGGGATCAAATCTGCAACCTTTTGGTGTATAGGATGATGCTCTAACCAAGCAGCCACCTGGCCAGGGCCCAACTTCTACTTTTTCACGGTAGAACTAGGGTCTCCTCTCTTTCTTGCCAGTGTCATCTCAGAGGATATGATTTCACCTGAATATAGATTGAATCTTAGCGTTGGAATCCATGAGCACCTTTCTGCCTGTCTCTGAAGCAGATGGACTCCATCCATTGTGAACACATGCCACAAATTTCACTGAAGCTGAGTGAAGTTGTATAGACTTAAAACTTATATAACACAACCATCAGGATTTTGGGAGGAGTGACAGCAATTATTGGAAAATGATAAATCAGCATACTGTGGCCATGTTCCCTCTGGACACCTGATGTGGGTCATCCTGCCTCATCAGAGGAATGTACTTTTTAAAGGTGTGACAGACTGTGGGAGTGCAGGGGAGGTGGAATTTGCTGAGTGAAGACTAATTTCCTGCAGGAGCAGGCTGTTGCCAAAGAGGGAAGCGAGGGTTGAGGGTGAAGACTACTCCTGGTGGACATGCTCTTGGGGCCAGTGTTCTCCAAAACTGGGGGTCAGCGAACTTTTTCTGTGAAACCAGATAGTAAATATTAGGCATTGTGGGCCATTCTTGGTTACAACTATTGAACTCTGCCCTTGTAGTGTGAAAGCAGCCATAGATGATATGTAAATGAATGCTCATGGCTGTGTCTCAATAAAACTTATTTATCCACACTGACTTTTAAATTTCATATAGCTTCACATGTCATAATTTATTTCTACCACTTCAGAAAGTAAACAACATTCATAGCTTGTGGGCCATCCAAAAATTGGTGATGACCTAGGTATGGTCTGGAGGCTATAGTTTGCCACCGTGGCCCTCTTCTGCATTTGCTTGTGAGGAAGATTTGCCAGGAAAGGAGAATCTGAGGGAAGAGAAGTGCTGTGAAATGTGTGACATCAGAGCCACTAAATCTTTTTTAAAAAGATTTATTTATTTATTTATTTATTTATTTATTTATTTATTTATTTATTTATAGAAAGAGAGAAAGAGGAAGAGAGGGAGAGAAACGTCAATGTGTAGTTGCCTCTTACGCATCCCCAAGTGGGGATCTGGCTTGCAGCCCAGGCACGTGCCTTGACTGAGAATCAAACTGGTGATCCTTTGGTTTGCAGGTTGGCACTCAGTCCACTGAGCCACACCAACCAGGGTAGAGAGCCACTAATTCTTGTGAGAGAGAAAATGTGCATGTCTGAGGTTGTAGGTAAAGGGAACAGAACAAAGGACCTAGGGGTGCTCATAAAAGTGAGGTAAATTTTGACTTGATGTAAGAAAGAAATTTTTAACATCTGTGTTGGCTGAAAGTGCAGTGAGCTCTTTGCAGAGTACCAGTAATTGAGTTTATTGTCAGGAATATTATAGAACTTTCACGTGTCACGTGAGCACTTTTAATCCTTCCATTGTTTTATTTTCTGAATGTCCTTTAGTATCACCAACCGGTTTTTTTTTTTTTTTGAGCTTTATTTATTGGCTTGTGTCATCAAAACAAGAAGCATATTTAATGTGCATTTTGGCTTCTCTTCTCCCTTTTGAGAATTACTAATGTGAGAGTTGGAGTCGATGATCACAAAGGTCTTTTCCAAAACTGAGAATCACAATTTTACTAGAATATGTGTTCCACAGTCATAGGGTGGGCGTGAAGATCCCCCTTCCTAAGTTTGGCTAGTGGTTTTCCCCTTGGAGATGACAGGATTCAAGAGAAGAGGTTTCTTGTGGTATGTTGTATGTTCTAGGTCAGGGGTGTCAAACTTATTTTCACCAGGGGCCACATCAGCTTCACGGCTGCCTTCAAAGGGCCTAAATAATTTTAGGACTGTATAAATGTAACTACTCCTTAACTGTTAAGGAGTTGAAATTACATTCGGCCCTTTGAAGGCAACAGTGAAGCTGATGTGGCCCCTGGTGAAAATGAGTCTGACACCCCTGTTCTAGGTCATTCAGGGCCACCTTGTATTGACACAAGAAGGGAAATTACGTTCTCCTTTATGCGAAACATAATGCTCTGTGGGCTTAAGTATATTATCTTAATAGTTTTCACAACAGCCATATGTTATAGGCACTATTCCATTTTTCAGATGAGAAAACTGAGGCTTAGAGAAAATATGTAACTTGTTTCAAGTCACTTAGCTATTAAGTAGAGAAGACACAATTCAAACTCAGACCTGCTTCTGCCTAGGAAGAGCGCTGGAGGGGTAACTATTCATATCTTGCAAAAGGCAGGGTTGGGGAACTGTTCTTGAGGAATGGACTGAGTGACCTAAAAAAACAACAACCAACCAACCGAAACTGGTAAGGAAAAACTGAAGTTCCCTTCCAGCCCTGCACTCTCTCCTGCCTGTCTGGAAGAGAGGGTAATGTTCCTATGGTGCCATCTGCTGGGCTGTAGGGAAATTCTACAGAATGTCTCTGTCCATTTCTTTTCCTTCACTTCCCCCTTGATGTTTCTGACAGTTCTTTGTAGCTCAGTGTCCATGAATGAGGAGACTAGGTAAAAATAGGGACATAACAAGCAAAGAGTGTTGATTGTCATGATTTTTTGGGTGGGTGGAGTCAAAAGAACTTAGCTATAATATGAAACTGGTCAGTAAGCATTTCCCTCCATAACCTTCTCCCCAGGTACAAGGGCCATTCTTTTTTCTTTCATCTCAAAAAATCAAAAATGGAGCTGATATAGTTTTACAGTTTAGTGGTATTTTGGGGGAAATGTGGCAGGCATGGTGATACATCTTTTAGCTCCAGAGCCAGGTTCTGGAATATACTCTGCTTGAGTATCGGTCTTCCTATTCAGTTGTTTCTCTTTCTCCTCTTAGTATTCTTTTTTTCATCCTCCAAGACCTCAAAAAATGCCCAGACGCTTGGAATCCATTCTTGTATCCTCTTGTTTATTCTGTCAACATCTTTCTCCTTCCATCTCCTTAACTTGCTACTTCATGCTCTTATTAGCATGGCCATTCTTAGCCTGTATCCCTCAGTTCCCACTTTCTCAAGGCTTTCTGCATGCAAGCCCGATCCATCAAACTGGGAAGATGGACGAGAATGATTGAAAGTGTTCCCCAGGGGCCCATCAGATGTTATAGAGGTAGTACAAAAGACCCGCTAGCAGGGAGATACCAGAGGGGACTTTACAGCTTAAGGTGTGGGAAGGGAATAGGCAAGACATAGAGAGCTTGGCTGTTTAGTCAGATCCAGAGCCTTTGTCTTTTAGTGTGTGTGTGTGCATGAGAGGGAGAGAGAGAGACTTCAGTGTGAGTGGTATGAGTATCAAACCGATTGGGCCTCTGTTTCTTCATTGAACTTCTCTCCTTCTACTCTCCTTCTCCACATAGTCTCTGTACTTCTTCCTTGCTAGTCTCCAAAACCTCCAAGCACAGTCCATCCTTTGGAAATGTTTTTTTAATGAATACTCTTCCTCCAGATATCCATTTGCCTTTATTGTGGATCTTCTTCAAGTCTTTGTTCAAATATTACCTCAATAAGGCCTATCCTGACCACTCTATCTGACATATACTTCTAACATACTATATAGTTAGCTTATTTATTATGTAGTA